GCATTTGGGGTTTCTGGGGAGAAGGGCAGGAGGGCTCTGGAAAGAAAATCAGCATTTGGGGTTTCTGGGGAGAAGGGCAGGAGGGCTCTGGAAAGGCCAGGCCTGCAGAAAATCAGCATTTGGGGTTTCTGAGGGGTTTCTAACCAGTCCCTCCCTCGGCTGTGCTGCAGGTACCACACAGACGTGCTGATGGCAGCGCTCCTGCTCTGCCTGCTCCTGGTGCCCCTCAGCCACTGCCACGAGGTGCCCTGGACATACAAAGGTAAAAACGGGGCTGCTTTGGGGTGCTGCTGGACAGGCTCCCTTCCCTCTGTGCTGCAGGAGCAGCCTGGCTGGCCCTTAGTGAGAGATCACACAGCAGCTGATTTATTCATTGATGCCTTCGTGTCTTGAAAGTGATTATCCTCAATGTCACCTCTTTTTACTCCTCTGTGTGGTTAGGACACATTGTCAAGGTTGGCAGCACAACGAGGTTCAAACAATGGGGGAAATCTTTAGAATGTGCTAGAAGAAAAGCTGACCTTTGGATGATCCTGCAAGGAAAAACTTTAAATACTGCCTGCTTCTTATTTTACTGTCCTATCCCAGGCAGTACAGAGCACTAAGAAGTACTTATTTAGGTATTTATAATTTTTTGGTGAAATTTTATCTACATTTCACTTGTGTCAGGGGGTTGTTTGCAGAGCTCACTGAAGTGTTAATTAATCCTTTTATGATCTTCAGTGGGCTAAGTTACAACAAAGGATATTGCTGAAGATTTGCAATATTGCAATTGCTCTCTCCCTAGTTAAAAATAGCTAATTGCTGTCAGTTCCTGATCCCAAGCTGAGCCTTCCTGCCTATTGCCCTGATCCTATTCACTTGTGCTGGTTAAGAAGCCAATTCCACACCTCTGGCAGCTGGGACCCATTTAAATCCCCATTTCCACGTAAACACTGCTCCTCTTTTGGTGGGGGTTCAGCCTCCAGCAATCACCGCGCCGCTGCTGCAATGCAGGTTTCTTCCTTTGCAGCACAGCTGTCCTGCAGACACAATAATGTGCATTTTCACTCTGGGGAAGGCACAGCAACCTGTTATGGCTGCAGCTCCTGGCGTTCCGATAATTGGATCGGCATTTCCCGCTGGCAAACAAGGGGAGTGCTCTGGCTGCTGATCACAGCACATCCCTGTCACCGTCCTTGCCCCCTCCAGGAGAAGGAGAGCTGGATGAAGAGCACTGGGGACAGCACTTCCCAGACTGTGCTGGCCAGCAGCAATCCCCGATTGACATCCAGAGGAGGAAGGTGAGCTACAACCCGCTGCTGCAGCTGGAGCTGGCTGGCTACGATGGGCCCTTGCAGGGCCAGCTCAGGATGACCAACAACGGCCACTCTGGTAAGGCTCAGGGCACTGCAGGAGCAGATCTTTGGTTTCAGCTGTGCAAATGCATTCCCAGACAGTGCCCTTGTTCTCAACTCACCTTGCTTGGCCATCTCACTTCATTCTGCTCCCTTAGGTTCGCTGTTTTCCTCAGTCACCCAGGAAGGCTCTCCAGAAATGCATAAATAAATCAGAAAAATAAAAGGCAGTTAGGTTTCTGCAAGGTATTTTCATGGAAAGGGGATCAAATGCAGCTGGAGAATTCCAGATTGATAATTTCCTTTAATGTGCTGCAAGACAACAGGAGTGCAGCAGTGAGTGGTATTTGGGGCGCACTGACTCCTCTGCATTCAGAAAATGCATCTTTTGGCCTGTGCATGAATCAGAAGTGACAGGAGTGGAACCTTTGCATCCCAGGTTTGGTTGGATGTAGGTCACCCCAAGAACAACACAGAGGAGGATCACAAGCCAGAGGATTGATATTTTGGAGCTCAGGAAAGGGAACTGAAGCACAGCACATGTTAAAAGCCTGGCCTTTGGCTACACCGTTTTGGGGCAATATTATAATTTAGGAGATCCCAGATTCCCCTGCTGTAGTCTGTAATTCATTGCCTAAATAATTCATCAGCTGGTACTGCTGGGATAACGCCTTTGGACTACAGATGAGCAATGAGAGAATTTCCTGGTGGCTGCATGGGAGAGAGGATGAGTGGTCTGGGAAGGTGTAGGGAGCATGGAGCAGTCGGCTCCTGAGTCCTGCACTGCAGCTCTTTCTTTCCTGCCTGTGACAAAGAGAGAGAAATCCGGTGTGAGGGCAAGGCAGCAGAGTGCTGGGGGACAAAGTGCCAGCAGAGGAAGACTGCTGTGCCTGTGTTCCTGAAAATTGTAACTCCTTTTGTGTGGCCCACACAAGCTCAGCGTTCAGCCAGGAGCTCTCTGTCAGCACTACTGCCCTGCCTGCCTAGACATTAATTCTTGCAGGTTTAGCTTTTTTGACTGCATGTGTGTATTTGCCCATTCTTTTGTTAACTTCCCAACAATGATTTTCTGATGCGGGGCAGTTTCCTAAAGCACAAAGACAAACGACTGTCCCTATTCACAGCTCCTGTGAGTCAGGCTGGGCTTTTCTACTGGCTTCAGCGAGATGGGACAGGGCAGCAGAATCTCTCAGGGAAAGCACTCAGCAGATCTGAAAGGGACATTTATCAGCAGGACTGTCCTTACAGGCTCTCAGAGCCAAACCCCAAATGTCTCACCAAGGAAACCAGGTTCATTTTTTCTGTAGGTCTGTTAGCACCAGGCTAAATCCCACCTGAAGATGCCTGTTTGCTGTGGTGTGAGTGCTCACACAGACAGCCTGGGGTTAACAAAGCCTTTTGTATTTGCACCATTCTTTTTGTTTTAAAGAGGGTTGCTCCTCCAGCTGGTAGTGAGGACAGGAAAAATTAAAACGTCATCCATGTGTGCATCCTCCCCCAGAAGCAGATTTAACTGGGGCCTCCAGTGTCCCCATTGACTCCCCAGGGGCCAGAGCTGGGCAGCCAGGCTGGCTGTCCCTGCAGGCAGGATGGCCAGAGGCACTCCAGAGCAGGAGTGCTGGGGAAGGCTCAGCTGCACTCCTCTGCCCTGCCCAGATGATTCTGCACCACCTGGCAGAGCCAGGGCAGAGCAGGAGGGAGGCACAGCCAGCCTGGAGCACTCACACTCCCCACTCACACTCTGTGAAAGCAGAAGCAAACCAGGCTACTCCCTGCCTTGTGCTTGCACCAAATATTTGCCTAGAATATCTTACAGGGGCCTTAAGCTGGTTACAAGCTCACAACACAATTCCCCGGCTGTGTTTTGTAGAAAGTAGAAACCCTGGTGAGGTACTTGAAGTAAATAACCCTCATTATGGAAGGCAGTCAGCAGGGAACTTATGAAAAAGGTAGATTATGTTCTCCCTCCCACTCTAGAGCCTTTGGGATATTAAAAGGAAACATGCTTTCGTTCTTGTCTGTCTATATACAGTTCACAAACAAAAGAAACTCCTCAGAAACCCAAACTATGACTAATTAATAATATGTTTGCTGCATTTTGCAAGGATAGTTGCTAGTTTTTATAACATGCTGGGGGCTTTCATTTAGATGAGGCAATTCTCCACTTTCACTCCTAGATTTATTAACATAATCTATGATTTCTGGCAGTGAATTAGCAGGAAGACAAAGGGTTTGTGACTTCTCCTTGGCAAGGAGAAGAAAAGAGGTTTGTCTCCACAAATCCTTCAGCAGTCACACAGCCTTTTCAAACCTTCAAAGCGTTCCCAGAATGGCTGGGCCTCCCTGGGAATTGTGATAACAGATGAGGCCACTCTGTGTTGATTCCTATCCCCGTTTCCTGCCTTGGAAAGGAAGTGGCTGACAGACCTGTGCCAGGTGTGCTGTGCTGGTGGGAGTGAGCATTAAAGCCTTCATTAGTGCCCACTGCCAAAGCCAGAGCTCAGCGGGAGAAGGGGTCTGCAGGCACAGCCCAGTCCTGCTTGTGCCTGCTGTGCTGCACCAGCCTGAGCCCAGGAAAGGTTCCCAGCACCCCCAGCTTTAAAGTTCACTGCCTTCCCTCCCACACCGGGGTGCTGACCGTGCTGCTCCTTCCACGAGGTGCCACCAGCACTGTAGGACCAACCACAGGGTGGTGGCTGCACCCCCTGCCCCTCCAGCCCTGTCATTTTCCAGTTCAGATCGATTTGCCACCCACCATGAACATCTCCAGAGGGCTCCCAGGCGTCTACACAGCCGTGCAGATGCACCTGCACTGGGGTGGGCTGGAGCTGGAGACCAGCGGCTCGGAGCACACCATCGACGGGATGCGCTACTTCGCCGAGGTTCGTGCGGCCCAGGGCTGCAGGGCGGCTCGGGGCTCCCCCTGGGAAAGGGGGGCTGCACCCCGCAGGGCCTGCAGGGAGGCAGGGGGGAAAGGGGGACAATGGCAGGGCTGAGCCCGACGGGGCTGGCGCAGAAGGCTCCAGGGAAAGCCATGGGGAGAGCACTCGTGTCCCTCTGAGGTGGAGCTGCTCCCCACGGTCACCACAAAGCTGGCAAAGCAGAGGTCCCTGTGGCCTGCTGCGAGGCACAAACAGCACAAACTGGGCTGGTGACTGTCCCTTCAGCGTGTCCCTCTGAACACGCTGGAGCCCTTCATCACTCCTTGCTAAATGAGCCCGTCTCTCTCCTGGCAGCTGCACATTGTCCACTACAACTCTGCCAACTACTCCAGCTTTGAAGAAGCCAAGGACAAGCCCCAGGGGCTGGCTGTGCTGGCCTTCCTGTACACGGTAGGTGTGAGCCAGGCTGGGGCAGGGGGCACTGCCTGAGCTAAAACCTCCCTCAGACACAAGCAGCCCGGGCCAGGCTTGTACAGCTGCCCCAGAGATGGGGTCTGGCACCTCTGTAGGCATCTCTGCTGCTTCCCCATGGCCATCTGCACACAACACCAGCCAATACCCCTTGGGACCCCCAGAAAACTGCTCCATAAGTAGTATTTTATCTATATCCATATCTATATATCTATATCTATATCCCATATATAAGAATATCAGGTGGGGCTTCCCTACTGTGCCTCCAAGCTTTGCTCTGCTTTGCCAGTGGCACCTCTTGATTCAGTGTGGATTTAAAAGCAGTAAAAAAAAAAATCCTGTTCACTATTCTGCCCAGGCTGTACAGACCTGACCGTTATCCAGCCCATCAGGAGATCTGTGGTGTATTTGTTGTCTTTGTCTCCCAGCTGATGAATTAAACCCCACAGCTGCTCAGCAGTGAGAAGGGCAGGCAGGTCACACCTTTTGATCAAGTGTCTGTGCTGTGTTTAGGATGGACACTTTGAGAACACCTACTACAGCGAGTTCATTTCCAAACTGGCAAGGATCAGGTTTGCAGGTAAGACCTGGGAATGCCTTTCTCTGTCCCTGAAGTGCTCCCAGCCTGTGTGTACTCCACCTCTGGGAACAGACATTTTCCTGCTGCTGTGCTGGCAGAGCATCCTCAGCCCTGCACAGCTCCAGCCCAGGGCTGTGGGGAAGGGCTCAGGGCAGCAATAAATGCACTCCTGGCAGTGTGTGCAGCACCAAATATCAGCTTCCAGCAGCCTGCACACCCCCTGATGCCTCCTGGAGCACCCCAGGCACTGGCAGAGCAGCTGCCCAGCACCCCCAGGACCAGACATGTCTGACTGACAAACCACAGACCCAGAAAGGGCCTTTCATGCCTCTCCCAGTTCCACCAAAGGTCTGATGAGCCACTGCTGTGGGCAGAGAGATTTGCTGAGCCCAGCTCCAAGAGCATTTCCACCTCTCTCTTCCCTCCCCATTAACTTCTGATGCCATCTCTGCTTCCTTTGGAGGTCAGTCAACCACGCTCAGCTCTCTGGACATCCAAGCCATGCTGCCAGAAAACCTCTCCCACTTCTACAGGTACCAGGGCTCCCTGACCACCCCCCCGTGCTCCGAGAGCGTGATCTGGACCATCTTCCACTCCCCAATTGTCCTGTCACACACTCAGGTCAGTGCTGCCTCTCACCAGCTCCTCTTCCCTCTGAACGTTTCCCTTGCTGTCCTCCAGGGATCTTGGGAACAGAGGAGCTCTTAGGGCACCTCTCCTACCGAGCTTTTGGGGTGAATTCCTGAGCAGCTGCACTTACAGGTGCCTGCCATTCTGCACGGCAGGTGACCTGAGGTCTGGTGACTGATAACAAAACTGCTCAGCTAAGCTCAGCCACCCTGAAGCACTATAAAAAAAAGGAAGAGACCAGTGAGAATTAACAAGGCAAAAACTACTGCAAGAGAGTCCCCTGGAAAAAAAAAAAAAAAAAAAAAAAAAAAAAAAAAAAAAAAAAAAAAAAAAAAAAAAAACCAAAAAAAACCATAAAAACCCACCAAAAAAGAACCATTCATAACATTAAAATACTTACAGAATAATTGCCAGATTTTAGAAGGCATTTCAGGGTTTTTCTGTGTCTAGACTCACACTGGAAGTAGTGCTTTTAAGTTAATAAATAATAAAGAAGCATCAGAAAACATTTTCTTCCAGGAGAAGAAAAAGATAAAACTGAGACCACAGTAGTGGGGGATCACAGTGTGTTCTCTTTAAAAAAGAAATACTCTTTTTGTCTGGGGAAGGCCAAAAGGCACTTGTGAGACAGGTAGAGAATAGCAGCAAAATCTCCATCCATGCTGCCATCAGGCAGGTGCTCAGAACTCCTCCAGGCAAAATGCCTTCATCATGAATTAGCTGAAAAGAACCCTCAGTGCTGTTCCTTCCCCAGCTGCTCAGCAAGAGACCCTGAGCATTCCTGCCTGATCCTCAGGCCAGTCCTGGGCTGCAGAATGTGCACTGCAGGTCTGGCAGAGCTGCTGTCCCCATGCCCTGTGTGATGTCCCTGTGCCCTGTGTGATGTCCCCATGCCCTGTGTGATTTCCCTGTGATGTCCCTGCCCCATTCTGCACTGCAGCTCCAGCCAGAGCTGCTGTCCCTGTGCCCTGTGTGATGTCCCTGTGATGTCCCTGCCCCATTCTGCACTGCAGGTCTGGCCAGATCTGCTGTCCTTATGCCCTGTGTGATGTCCCTGCCCCATTCTGCACTGCAGCTCCATGCAGAGCTGCTGTCCCCATGCCCTGTGTGATGTCCCCATGCCCTGTGTGATGTCCCTGTGCCCTCTGTGATGTTTCTGTGATGTCCCTACCCCATTCCGCACTGCAGCTCCAGGCAGAGCTGCTGTCCCCATGCCCTGTGCAATGTCCCTGTGCCCTGTGCGATGTCCCCATGCCCTGAGCGATGTCCCCATGCCTCTGTGCCCTGTTTTTGTCCCTGTGCCAGGTCCAGCTCCTGGAGAACACCCTGCTGGACTGGCACAACCGCACCCTGCGCAACGACTACCGGCACGCGCAGCCGCTGCGGGGCCGCGTGGTGGAGGCCTCCTTCCGTGCCCAGCGGGACCAGGGTAGGGCCAGGGGACCCGGGGGGGACAAACACCACGGGGAAGGTGTGACACTGCCAGTCCTTGCAGCTGGACGGGCTGGAATCCCTGTCCCTGCTCAGGTGGTGTCCCGTGTGCCTCCTCCTTGTTTAAGGGGTGTGCCAGCCCTGCCTTCCCAGTGCCACCCCTCCAGGGTGGCTGGTGCCACCTGGCACCATGGCAGGACCCCAGCTCAGGTGTGGCTGGAGCGTGTGGGAACAGCTCTGTTGGGCAGCCACACCGAGGAGAGGAGCTGCATTTTGAAACACAGCTTTTGCTGCAGCTAGAAAATGCAGCGTGTGCAGGTCCCAGCCCTCTGTAAATTCAGCTGTCTGATTGCTCCAGCACAGTGTCATCCAGAGGAATTCACCCTCAGGCTGGATCAAATCCAGATGCAGCTCCAGGACATGAAGACAGAGTTGCTGAATGGACTGAGCCACACAGGTAAGAAACACAGGTTGAGTCCCACTCACCTTGTGAGGATGAAGAGCCCTGCTGAGCTTGGTGGCCCAAATCATTGACCGGTTTAGTACAGGCACACACAGGTAGAATTTTATCCCATGTCTGGGCCTGCTGATGGAAATCCTTCACCATCATCAAGGCCAGCCCTAAGCCAGCTACAGCTCTCTCCTGCCACATGGGTACACATTTTACAGGCAGTAAAAATGCTCAGCTCAGTTCCCCCAGGAAAAATAGCCATCATCTCTATTTTATACAACATGAGAGAAGAGGAGGAGGGAGGGAAAACCATGATTTTCCCAAACATTTGTGTGGGGGAGCTCAGCTCAGCTTTTCATGGTTCCAAAGCCATTCCCTGCTGACACAACACACAGCAGTAACTGCAAACTCAGACTACACAACCCTACCAGTTTTGTGGGTGTTATTCTCCAGAATTTGGGCTTGTTCACAGGAAATGTAACTGTTGGCTTTTGGGTTACTTCAGGTACAAAATCCAGCACCTTTCCAGCTTTCTACTTCCCCGCGGAGAACATTGAGAGCTTTGTGGAGGTCCATCCCCTCCGCGCTGTGTCTCTGCAAGCCTTCACCCTGTGTTTCTGGAGCAGAGCCCAGCCCGTGGGCAGCCAGACCATCCTGTCCTACTCCACTGGGGACAGCGACCGTGAGCTGGTGGTGACCGTGGGCGCAGAGCTGGGGCTGTGGGTGGGAGGCCACTTCCTCAGCTTCCCCCTGCCGCAGGAGGCACGGGGCTGGCTGCACCACTGCGTGACCTGGGCCTCCGCAGAGGGAAGCGCCAGCCTCTGGCTCAACGGGGCGGCTGGCAAGGCGCAGAGCGTCCGGAAGGGCTTCGTGAGCCGGGCCGGGGGCACGCTGGTCCTTGGCAAGGACAGGGACGCTCTGCTTGGCACCTTCTCCAACGGGTTTGGGGGGTGGCTGAGCCAGGTGAACCTGTGGAGCCGGGTGCTCGACGCCGCGGAGCTGCGGGCGCTGGCGCTGTGCAGGGCAGGGCAGCCCACGGGGGACATCATCGCCTGGGGACAAACCCCCATGGCCCTTCTCGGGGGGGTGCTTCTGCAGCCCGACACCAGCTGCCAGTGAGCACAGCCTCTGCTCTTCTGACAGCATCCCGGGAGCCCTGCTTGTTGGGAAAACTGAGAAAAACCGGGGCTCTTTGCTTGTTTCTCCTCCTGCTTCCTACAGGCTCACTGGGCACCTGCTGGTGCTCCAGGGTGTTTTTCCAAAAACCTCCATCTGTGAGATAAAACAATGAACTGCAGAATCTGGCACAATCCAGCACCCTGGGTTGTTACGTCCCTCCAGGGGGTTGATTTAGATCCCCATACACTGATTTTGTTTCACGCCAAAGAGGTGCTCTCTGGTCAAAGGAGCTGCTTTCTCAAATAAAATTTCTCTCCCCTCCCTCACCCAGTCTCAGTTTCTCACCATCTTCCCTGCTTGTCTCTCCTGTTTGTCACCACCAACTCACCACCCCTTCCCATAGGAGAGGGGACGTGGAGCTCTGGCAGGGCAGGTCCTGTGCAATCCCTGTGCCTTGGCTGTGGCACAACTTTGCCTTCTTTTCTGTAGTGGATGTAGAGACAGGGCATAGAAACAGCTCCTTTTTTAACACATATAGCACAAACTTGAGCACGGGTATGTTGTATATATAAACTGATTTTCCAAGGTTAAAGTAAATCATGTGAAGGATTCTCCATCTACTACACAAAATCCATTCCAAGCTGCTCGACAATTCTGCTTTTTTAAAAACAGAAGGAATTTAATTTCCCCTCGCTGGACCCTCAAAGCACAAGTGACAGTTCCTCAGAGGAGTTTAGTGCACCCCTGGCACACGACTGCCCCACACCCAGCCCAAGGCCTGCCCTGTGTCCCCCGGGATGTGTCACCAGGACACCAGGGACACACATCAGCTCGTGCCATTAGCTACTTGGTCACAGAACTGGGCTGGCTGAGGACATTTCCTTTTCCTTGGAACAAGAGAAGAATGTGGCAGCATTAGGTTTGCAGTTGGATTTGAGCTTAAATGTCTTTTCCAGCCTTAAGAGTTCCGTGATTGTCAGATCAGCATCAAAGGAGGAATCCCTGTATTTGTTTTCCTGCTGAACAGATCCTGTCAGGCCAAACATAGTTAGGTCACATCTCACTGCTGGAGAGCGATTTCTTCTCTTCCTGCCTGCTCAGGGGGTAGGAATCTTTAAGCTCTTTGCTTTCCTGAACCTCCACTTTGTTCCTCTTGGCCATGATCCTGTTGATTTCCATGAAGGTTTTATTCTTGGTCTCAGGAACGATGAAGAATATGTAAAGCATGGTGGCGATGCAGATGGCACAGAAGATGAGGAAGCTGTAGGGCCCCAGCCCAGCCTGGGGCAGCGACAGGAGAGAGCAGGGTCAGGGCAGCATTCCAGCTGGGAGCTTCCTGCTCTGGCCCTGCTGCACCCTGCACTGGCTGCAGGAAATGCAGCCATGGTGAGGTGCTCATGATTTAACCTGAACGACTCAAAGCTGGGGTGGTTTTAGATTCTGCCTTCTCAAACCACCACCACGGGTTTGTTGGAAACTTACTGGGAAAGAAGGGTGAGGGTCTGCTCTGTAACTCAAACAAAACTCAGGTGAAAGTCAGGGACTGCAGCAGTTTATGGGTCACTGGTGCTGGGGGCAGTTTAACCAGGCACCCAGATTTCAGAACCTAAAACTGTCCCCCCAAGGCACATCCTGCAGTGGAAGATGGGGAATTTGCCATCTTTTCCAAGTTCCTGAGCTCAGGGAGAGACCTGGCAATCAAACTGCTTTCTTTTAAAGCCTGTGCAACAGCCAGGTATGATGAGAAAAGCAACAACATCAGCCTCTTGCCCTTGAAGCAATCCCTCACACGGGTTTTGGGAACCAACAAGTGCATTTACACTCCTCAAAGCCCTCTGTAAGAACCCAGGGGTGAGGTTTTGCCCTGTGCTGGGTTCTTACCTCCATGTAGAGGAACAGCAGCCCCACGGTGAAGTTGCTCAGCCAGTGCACAGAGCCCCCCACCATGAACGCCGCGGGCCGGGACGACTGCAGGAACATCTCCGTGATCATCACAGCAGGAATGGGACCTGCAAGGCAGCTGCAGGTGAGAAACCCCAAAGGCAATCAATCCCCTCGCCCTGAATTCCTGATTAGACTGCTCATTTCAGTGGCAGACAGCGGTTTCAACTGTCAGTAAATCAAACAAGGATTCCATTTAAAGGAAAAAACGAGACAATTAAATTACTTGCACAGGGCATGGCCGCACGGAGGTGAAATTCAGCCTGCCTGGATGAGCTCCACAAAGGTTTTGGTTGGAAACTGAAGACAGCACCTGGCTTTACCCAGCTTGTGGGGGGACTGGGTGGCTGTGGGCACTTACTGGGTCCGAGGGCGTGTCCAATGATGTAGGCAATGACACAGAGGATGCTGAGGTAGGACATCCAGGAGACAGTGCTCTGCAAGGATTGAATCACAGGTGAGGGGTGCTGCCTGTCTGAGCATCACCAGCACGTTCCAGGCACGGCTCACACTAGGACTGAAGGCATTCTGAGGCACTGTGACCCTTCAGTGCCATAACTGGCCACAGAAAGCACAGCCTGGGCATGGTCCTTGCTGCCAAAGGGATGCAGCAGGAGCTGGGACCGTGACATCCTGGGAGGAGCACGCAGGCAAGCAGGACCACAGCCTTTCTGTAAGGTAGATATGCACCTACACAGACTTTCATGCTGCCCCCTCCTCCCCAGGGTGTAGAAGCATCCTCAGAATATTCCAATGGCCTGTTCCCTGGAAAGCCCAGAAATCATGAGAGGGACCAGCTGAGCCATTCATACGTACCTGGAGATTGAGGGCCAGAGTTAGGACTGCACAGGAGGCAGAGCACAGCACAAAGCCAGCCAGGAGAAGGATCCTCCTCCCCAGGGACTCCACAATGAAAACCTGGAAGAGGCAGGAGAGGGGGAGACACCAGGGGCTCAGCAATTGTTGCAGATGTTTTTGTCCAGGGGACACCAAAGGGAAAACATTTCCCAGTGCGTGCCAACAACGCTCTAGTGGAAGGATTTTGGCATGAGATGATCTTTAAGGTCCCTTCCAACCCGAACCATTCTGTGACTGTAGGATTCCATGAGCACAACCTAATTTAAACAGGGGAGGGGAGAGCTCAGAGAGCCCCAGCACAGACTCACAGCCAGCAGAGTCATGAGGACGTTGATGGCACCTATTGACACGGTGACATACTGGATGCTGCTGCTGTGCACCCCTGCTGACTCGAAGATTCTGTCTGCGTAGTAGAAGACCTGCAGCAGAACCACAGCTGTGTTAATACATGGGCAGAGTGTGGGCATCCCCCTTTTGGCTGCTTTAAATCCTGGTGCTGGCACACAGAAGCCCAAGGATGGGATTTGTCCGTTCCTGGAGACGCTGTTTGGATCTGGGCACAAGCACTTTGCTCTAAAAACACTCCAGTGATCATTAACAGGGCAGCTGACCCTGCACCTTGTCCATGGCTTTGGTACTGGCCAGGGCTGACCCAGCGCCGTGGGACACAGCCTGGGTGAAGGGGCACTCCCAGGAGTGTGCCCTGTGCCAGCACTGCCCCGTCACCCCTCTGAAGTTCAGCCCTCCTTGGTGTGCCCTGTGCCAGCACTGCCCTGTCATCCCTCTGAAGTTCAGCCCTCCTCTGTCCCCCAGCCCTCCCCACTCACCCCATTGACCCCCGAGAGCTGCTGGCCGGCCATCATGACGATGATGGAGATGAGCTGCCACCTCAGGCCCCTGAAGGTGAACAGGCTGAGCACAGAGAACTGCCCTTCCTCCTTCTCGGACCGGTTCTCCTGGTACATCTCTTGGATCTCCTCATCCACGTCCTGCCAGCCCCTCAGCCTCTGCAGAGCTGGTGGGAGAGCACGGGTGTGGGAATCCAGAGCTTCCCTCTGGCTGCCCTGGCAGGGGTCAGGAACCCCCCTGGACAGAGCCCCCAGAGACATTGTCTGTGATCTCTGGCCATGGAAAAGAGTTTTCAATCTTACAGGATGAATTACAAGCTCTGAGTGTTTGATATGAGTAATAATTAAGTGTGGCACGGGTGCAAAAGTAAAATTTTAGGGTTCTAGATTAGGGGTCCAAAGGGGACAAGATGGAGGAAATTGGGTGTGTCTTGTCCTTTTTCTCCTTCTTCATGCCCTCCATGTCTCACTGTGGTGTTGGCATTTTTCTGTTGGTTCAGGCTGGGGACACACTGTCCAACGTAGGTGACAGATATTGGCACGTTCTTGTAAATCCAGCCCAGGGAGTTTCTGGTATTGAATGTTTGTAACATCCCACTGAGGGCAGAGCCCCACACGCTGCCCTGCAGGACAGAGCTGGGCAGGGCAGCAGAACATGTGAGAGATAAACAGAATAAACAACCTGGAAACCAGCACAGACCAATGATGGCTTCTGCTTTGGCAGCAGGGCTGAGAGACAGAGACTTTCTACAATATTGGGATCATCAATACCACAGATTCTGACACACGGGGAGCTGTGAGCCCCAGGCTGGCAGAGCTCTGAGCCCCAGGCTGGCAGAGCTGTGAGCCCCAGGCTGGCAGAGCTCTGAGCCCCAGGTTGGCAGAGCTGTGAGCCCCAGGTTGGCAGAGCTGTGAGCCCCAGGCTGGCAGAGCTGTCCTGCTCCAGCCCAGGAGCAGCGTGTGGCCCTGGGCAGCCGTGGCTCCGTGCTGGGCACGGGGCATCCACACACCCAGGGAAAGGAGCAGAGTCCTGGGAGTTCCAGCCACCAGCAGCACGTCAGTGGAGAACTTCCCAGCCTCCTGCTGTGTCCCACAGCAGATATCCCATCCCACCCCATCCCACCCCACCTGCCCTCCTGGGGAGGATGGCACTCACTGTACCTCTCCGTGCCCGCTCTTCGTCGCCCTTTTGGATGAGCAGGTATCTGGGACTCTCGGGGAAAAAGGGCAATGTCAGGAGCTGGATCAGGGACGGGATCCCAGTGAGCCCCAGCAGCACAGGCCACCCTGCAGCAAGGTCAGAGCACGTCAGCTGAGAGAAATCCTCCCCTGTGCAGCCCACAGAGAGGTCCT